TGAAAATATAGAAGGTGTTGCAGACAATGTGAGTGGCACTAAGAGTAGGTTTGGGACAATGGGTCTTATGTTGTAGAAAAACTGGAGTTAGGTGCTGCTCTTCTATCCCTTTTCCAGGATAGGAGAGGGAGACACAATTACCCAAGACTCTGTGCACCTTGCCTGTAACCTTGCCTTCTGAGGTACTGGCCACTTTATTGGTGGCCCTATGGCAGGATAAGTTTTCCATTCAATTATAGAGCATGTATTTGGTAATTTATGCCTAGCTCAGATCTATTAAGTGCCTCAGTTTGGATGACACTTCATAGATTATAAGTTACATCTGTGTTCATTCTCCCACTTTATCTTCACCATGCTCTCTGAAGATGAATCAGAGATAATTAACCCCAAATTACACAAAAAAGTAAGTCTAAGGAGCATATGTCTCTACTCAGGTCATTCAGTTAGCAAGTGATGTCTGCTCATAGCCCAAGTCTTCTGACTTTAAGACAAGTTCTATTTCTATAATATCATTCATCTTCCACCATATCAGATGCTATGTAGAGAGAAATACTAATCAAGTAGAAATTATGATCCCTGCTCTCAAGTAGCCTAGAGTCTTTAGAAGAAAAAACACACTAGCATGGTGACTTTAAGCAAGCCCATTCCCCTCTCTGTTGAAACTTTTCCTATAAAATGATGGTTTGCACTATATGACCTCAAACATTTACATTTCTCGTCCTCCTAGTAATAAACAATTATTGAGTCACAGGAAACAGTGCTTGATGACACAATGTGGTGGGGTTAGGAAATAATCCTTCAGGCCAGGGAAGCTGCAGAGTCCAATGGCTAAAGCTACCGCAAGGAAGGAAGTGGGGGAATGGGACTGAGGAGAAGGCCTAGCTCTCTTGCTAGTGCTAAAAATTGCTCACTCTACCAATGGGCTGGTTCCACCAATAGGCCATATATTGGCTCTTTGAGACACCTCTCTACTCATTTGTCACCAGTCCCTTTAGTGCTCACTGATTTTAGCTAATGGTGGGGTTTAATCAACAAGGATATCTTTGAGGAGGATGTCACAGATCTTATGTGTCAGAAAGAACTCAGGGTAAGTAGGAACCTGGAGTCAATGAAGTGATGGAGAACTAAGAGTGGCTTAGTCTCCTAAAACACCCTGTCTGAGGGCTTTAGTGTGACCAAGTACTGGTTATAATAAGATAATTATAGTACTATGATTATATCAATTAAATATAGCACTTCCTGCCCAGCCAGTGTAGCTCAGTTGGTTGGGCATCGTCCCATGCACCAGAAAGTCACCAGTTTGATTCACAGTCAGGGCACATGCCCAGGTTGCTGGCTCAATCCTTAGTAAGGGGTGTGCAAGAAGAAGCTGATTGATGTTTCTCTCTCTTTGATTTTTTAAAAATATATTTTTATTGATTGATTTCAGAGAGGAAGGGAGAGGGAGAGAGAGATAGAAACATCAATGATGAAAGAGAATCATTGATTGGCTGCTTTCTGCACACCCCCTACTGGGGATCCAGCTTATAACCCAAGCATGTGCCCTTGACCAGAATCAAACTCGGGACCCTTCAGTCCACAGGCTAACGCTCTATGCACTGAGCCAAACCAGCTAGGGCTCTTTGATGTTTCATTGCTCTGTCCCTCTCTGTTCCTCTCTCTGAAAGCAATCCTATATAATAAAAGGCTAATATGCAAATTGACCAAACGGTGGAACAACCGGTTGCTATGACATGCACTGACCACCCGGGGGCAGACACTCAATGCAGGAACTGCCCCCTGGTGGTCAGTGTGCTCCCACAGGGGGAGCACTGCTCAGCCAAAAGCTGGGCTCATGGGATCCTCTCCTGCCTCCACAGCAGTGCTAAGGATGTCTGACTGATGGCTTAGGCCCACTCCCCATGGGTTCCCCCGAGGGCTCCCAGATTGCGAGAGGGTGCAGGCTGGGAACCCCACCCCAAGTGCACGAATTTCGTGACTGGGCCTCTAGTAAAAACATATTTTTAAAAAGATAGCACTTTCTACATGCCAGGTGCTGTTACAAGTGCTTTACAAGGAGTAACTTTCTTCCCGTTATAATAACATTATAATAACTATTATTTTTCCAATTTTACAATTGTGGAAACTGAAGCATATTAAGCACTGTCCACCTCTTTTTCTCAGAGCTCTATTTTCTTCTTTGTTCTTTCCTTCCACACTGAATTTCACTAATGTTCTGCCTTATCTTTGGATAACATTTTATCTCAATAATGTTCTAGTGTATAAAGGCCTTCTGGTCGAAAGTTTAGAATTTTGAGGATGCTAGATTCAAGATGCCTTGTAAATCTAGCCACTCATAGCTAACGAATCTTCTCTTCTGCCCCTCTCATCCTCATAGAAATATCCTGAATGTACACATTCCAGAAAGTACCAGCAAGTGACTTTGGGTAAACAGGGAGAGGTTAGAAGTGCAAGTGGAGTGGCTGCCTCTCAGCCAAAGTGATTAAAATGATTAAAACAAACTTTTGTTTTCATTTGTTTGTTTTTCTGGACAGGAAGCCAAGAAAAACACTGTAAATTAAAGTTTTAAATAGTTTTAAACTTATTCTCATAAATTTTGTGATTTCCATGTCCAAATCCTTTTACATAGGAGGAGAAACAATGTCCATCTCCATCGATTTTACATAATCTGAATTGAAAGAAATCTCAATAGAGACCTTTCATTTCCCAGAAAGCCTCTTGTTTTCTGCTTTTCCCCTCTGATGATGTTAGATGATGTTAGACGTTAGTTCATCCATAACTGCCCTCTGGAACAAGAAGTCCCACAATGGTTTTTGCTTGAATAGCTTTGTGCAAACCCATCCACCAGCAAGACTTTTGATGTTTCAGTGAGAGATGTCAAGTGTAAACACTTGTGAGTGGTAACTGATGATGAGATCAAAGTTCAAGGTTGAACTCACAAGGAACAGTGAACAAATTACCAAGCCTCTCAGTTGAACAGGTAACTTGCAATTTCACCTTTTTAAAAATTCCAGCTATTTATCTTTGAAAAAAGAGAGTGATATATAGAAGTGTAACTTTGGACCAAGCCTTTGTCTTAGGCCCTATTTCTGCCCTGTTGGCTAGAGTAATTTATCTTAGAGCACTAAATGAGCAATCAGGAGACACTTTTTCTTAAAAGAAAGGCCTTCTGGTCCAAATATTGGAAAGGAGGGAAGATAGAAATGCATGGATGAAAAGTATAGGTAGGGCTGTTACCTGACTTATGGGCTTAGATGGTCGATGCGTTGTGGTTTTGGGCAGGCTTTAAACAAACAAAACACAAAACTTCTCCTTTCACAAGAAAAACTTGTTTGGTTCTAGAGAAGCGGTTCTCAACCTGTGGGTCGCGACCCCTTTGGGGGTCAAACAACCCTTTCACAGGGGTCGCCTAAGACCATGTGAAAACACATATATAATTACATATTGTTTTTGTGATTAATCACAATGCTTTAATTATGTTCAATTTGTAACAATGAAATTGGGGGTCATCACAACATGAGGAACTGTATTAAAGGGTCGCGGCATTGGGAAGGTTGAGAACCACTGTTCTAGAGGAAGCCCCCTCAATTAAAAATCCTCTGGGAAGTTTGCTCAGAGCTCAAGGGCTTCCCACATTCTCTGGTGCCACCTGGCGGAGAACAGTAAATAATGAACAGGATATAGGAAACTGGGCGGTTAAGTTTGGAGTGGAAGAAGGACCAATAATGCTGGGGTGGGCAGGCACTTTGGGGGTCCAGGACACCCTAAGGATAATTGGGTGCCTTGTGAGGCTGGTGGGACATGAAAAGGGAGCTGAGGAGCGTAGAATGTTAAACATAATATGTGTAAAGCTCCAGGCATACAGACCTAACTGCATCAGAAGGCACTTACCACATGCTGGGACCAAGCTAAGAATTTTACATGTGTTTTAAAAATTTAATCCTTACAGCTACCTTTTGCAGTAGCCCCATTTTGAATACAAGTGAAGCGAGGATCAGAAAGGTTAAGTAACACACAGAATTAGTTAGAGGCAGAGACAGTGTTCAAGTTTTCAATCATGTCATAAATTGTAGCAACTTCCAATGGAAATTAAATGATGTGAAATTAGAAAGACCATGGAGGAGCTTAAATACTTTGAGTTTGGGTCAGGTAGACTCTGATGCCAGATCTAGGGGAGTGAAGGAGTACTATCATACATACCACCTGCTCTATCATCTTTACCTTGAAATATGGGGAAACCAAACAGAGGTTGATCTGGAATTCCCCCACCCACCCTGTCAATCAATAAGTACTTTTAGGCACCTGCTGTACCCAGGGCTTTGTGGGATATAAGGGCATTTTTTCCTAGGAGTTTTGGTATGCTGGCATTACTTGTGTCTCTCCTCACACACACACTCTCTGCATCTTTTAAAGACCTCAGGTCAATGAGTGTGTTGGTGTATCTTTCAGAAAACACTGTCTCATAGGGAACAAAAGACCAAAAGCAGGTATCATCTATATTGATCAAGAAATTAGGGAATATCTTGGTAAAAAGGAAAATAGGGAATCAGCAAGCACTGAGCACCTGCTATATGCTGAGTGCTTACCTGCAGAATCTTAGCTAGCCCTCCCAACTTCTGTGAGGCAGGCTCTATAACTCTCTCCTTTTAAAAATGAGGATAACTGAGGTTCAGAGAGGTTAGGCAACTTTTCCATAGTCACACACTAATCAGTAGGAGAGCTCTGTATGACTACAAAAATCTATGCTTTTTTTTTTAGAATAAAGGGTGTCATTTTTATTATAGAAAAGTTCAATCAAACGAAAAATGGAGATAATAGTGTAATGAAATCCCTTTTTTTTGTTTACAGTTTTTAATGAAGCAATTTGTGCAAATATTTTTTTCTTCTTCAACATTAGAAGGAAAAAAAAGAAAAGAAAACAAAACAAAACAAAACAAAAAACAGCCACACTTGGGTGCCTGGTGTTAACACAGACAACACTTTCTCATTGCAACCATATTTCAAAGCAGTAGAGTACAGGGTCAGTGGCTGGGCCCTTAGTATTCCTCAGGATTGCTTGAGTGCAAATCTCGCATATAAGACTCAATTATGTTAGGAGGTACACCTTGCAAGAGGAGCCTGCAGAAGGAAAGTCCACCTTTCACCTCCAGTTTGCATTCGACCTCCACTGTCCCTAGGTTATTGACTGCTTTGCAGCAGTAAGTGCCTCCGTCATAGGAGCTGGGCTTGCGGATCTCCAGCGTACAGACCCCTTGGTTGCTGAACATCCTGTATCTTGGGTCATCCACAATAGCAACTTTGTTTTTCATCCAGGTTATTTTGGGCTTGGGATTTCCTCTCACACTGCAGTTCAGAGTGGCATTGTACCCAGCTATAGCATAGGTGTTGACCAAAGCCTGAGTGAACATGGGCGCCTCTGTGAAATCGAAGTCTTCATACACTGGATTTTTATAGACTTTACCATCCTTGGCGATCACAGCACTCTCTTTAGTAATTGTTGCATTCTCACTGAGGCCACACATGTTTTCAGCAAAGACCCGGAAGTAGTATTCATTGCCTATGACCAGTTCAGTAATGGTGGCATGGGTTCAGTGATAGTGCTCAGTGACAGTGAACCATTCCATGCTCTTCTTGTCAGCCTTCTGGATCGTGTACCCTGTAATGGCCGCATTTCCATTATCCTTTGGTGGTGGCCATGATAGGGCAACATTCTCTCCCCAGACATCCTCAATCTTCACAAGTTGGGGTGGACCCCGACGGTCCACGATCTGGATGTCGATCGATGCGCTTTCCACGAATTTCTCCACTTTGACCTCCAGATCATATTTCCCTGAGTGGCTCCTCTCCGCTTTTCTGATAAATATGATAGTGTCAGTCTCAGAGTTGCGAGTGTTGATTTTATTTTTATCAATTTCGGCACCATCCTTCTTCCAAGTTAATTCTGATCTTGGTTTTCCCTGGAAAGGTATCACCAGGTTGACAGCTTCTCCAACTCTGCGGATGTAGGTTTGCTTCAGGTGCCGTGGGATGCGAATCTTTGGAGGCTCTATGATTTCCTTCACAAGGATGGGCTGAGAGTAGTACTTGGGCTCGCTGGCACCGGCTGCGTTCACAGCCTTCACACGCACAAAGATCTTTGCATCCGTGGGCAGGCCCATGATGGTGAACTTGGTCTTGTCCATCAGATCTGTGTTTGCAACTATCCAGTCCTCAATTCCTTCAAGGCAATACTCTAGCACATAGCCATCTAAACCTGCGGCACCGATCTGATCTGGGGGCCGCCACTTCATTGTGACAGTGGTGTCAGTTACATTGTCAACAGCCAGAAGTGTAGGGGGGCTGGTTACAGCCAAAGGAACGAATGGCTTGGAGGGCATATTGGGCTTGGAGATGCCGATGGCATTGACGGCAAAGATACGGACCTCGTAGGCCATGCCTTCAATCATTTGTTTGGGCTCAAAAGTTGTTTCTTTGCAGAGCTCAAAGTTCAGCCTCATCCATCTGGAGCTTTGCTTTTTTTTTTCCTTTCAATAAAGTATCCTAAGATTGGGGACCCTCCATCATAGGCAGGAGGCTCCCAGTTCATGATGCACCAATCATCTCCCACATCTGTCACATTCTGTGCCACTGGAGGATCAAGGATGTCCACAACTTTAATCTTGATGCTGGCATGTGCTTCTCCAGCTTCATTTTTCAGATTTATGTTGTAAACACCAGAATCATCTCTTTCAGCAACGTCAATAACCAGAGTGCTGCTGTCAGGGTAAGATTCTGCCCTTATCCGGCCACTGCCCTCCATGATGGCCTTAGTATTTCACTTCAGCACTGCGCCTCCTCTGAGTGTCCGTATGCGTTTCTCTTTCCTCCTAGTTGTAGAACTTCCACTCAGCCAGCCTTCCTGTGGTTCTGGGTGATGTCCGTTCCACCTTTTAGTTGTATTTTTGAAGTGGTTGTTCGAGGCAGCAAACTCCGGCTAACCTATGCCGCCATCTTGGTTTCTCCAAAAAGAAGGAATCTCTGAAACCCCTTTTTACCAATAATTGAGTTTCAGTAATTATTACCACATACTCAGTCTTATTTCATCTGTACTCCCATCTACTGCCTCCCACCAAACTGGATTTTTTAAAGTAAATTCCATATGTAATGTCATTTTATCCACAAAATTTTCAGGATGCATCTCTAAAAGGTATGGACTTTTAACAAAACATACTGTTCTCAAATCTGCAAAATTAATACTAATTTCTTCATAAAAGCAAATATGCGTGTTGTTTGCAATTTTTCACTATTGTCTCATGTCTTTTTATCATTTTTCTGTTTTTTTTTCTTTTTATTGAGATGTAGCTCAGAAATGGTAAAATACACAAATTTAAGTGTACACCTTGACATTTTTTTAAAAAATATATTCTATTGACCTTCAACAGAGAGGAAGGGAGAGAGACAGAGAGTCAGAAACATCGATGAGAGAGAAACATCGACCAGCCGCCTCCTGCACATCCCCCACTGGGGATGTGCCCGCAACCCAGGCACATGCCCCTGACCGGAATCGAACCCGGGACCCCCCAGTCCGCAGGCCAACGCTCCATCCACTGAGCCAAACCGGCTTTGGCGACCATTTTTTACATGCATATACATCTGCATCACCAAAGCATATTCCAAAGTGTATGCATTAACTTGACACTTCAACAGCAATGTATGAGAGTTCAAGTTGTTTCATATATTCACTAACAGTATTGCCGGTACTTTTAATTTTGAGACATTCTAATTGGGAAGGTGTTAGGATAAATGTCTCTCTTCTTATTGATTTGTTTTTGAGAGAGAGGAAAAGAGAGAGAGAGAGAGAGAGAGAGAGAGTTGTTGTTCCGCTCATTTATGCATTCATTGGTTGACTCTTGTATGTGCCCTGATTGGGGCTGGAACCTGAAAACCTGAAACCTTGGCACATTGGGACAATGTTCCAACCAACTGAAGGTACCCAGCCAGGGCCTAAATGTATTGTATCTTTCTTTATTACTTTATGTTTCTCTGATAAATAATGTTGAGAGCATCTTTTTCTCTCTTTTTTTAAATATACTTTATTGATTTTTTACAGAGAGAAAGGGAGAGGGATGGAGAGTTAGAAACATCGATGAGAGAGAAACATTGATCAACTGCCTCCTGCACACCCTCCACTGGGGATGTGCCCTCAACCAAGGTACATGCCCTTGGCCGGAATCGAACCTGGGACCCTTGAGTCCGCAGGCCGACGCTCTATCCACTGAACCAAACAGGTTAGGGCGAGAGCATCTTTTTCCATGTCCATTATTAAAAAGCTTTGGTTTGTCAATATTTTTTATTGATACTTAGAAGTTCTTTATATGTTCTGAATATCTGTCAGAATGTATACATATCTTGTCCCACCTGGCTGGCCCTTCTACTGTCTTTATTTTTATCTTGTGTCTTATTAAAAGGTATTATTAGCTTTAATGAAGTCTAATTTATCAATATGTCCTTTTTTGGGGGGAGGTTAATGTTTTTTGTTCCCTATTTAAGAAAAATTTTGTCTCCCTAAATGAAATAAAACTTCTATATTTTTTCTAGAATTAATGTTTGTATATGATGTTAGGTAGAGGTGAATGTTAATTTTTCCATATGGATATTCACTTGGTCCAGCATTATCTTTTCACCACTCTGTAGCAATAATGCCTCTGTCAACAAAGTAAGTTTCACTGAACTGTTTTCCTATGGTTTCACTAACACTCTATTTAGTTACTATGGCATTATATTAATTATTGCTATGTATTAGTATAAGTACTCTAGCTTGGTGGTGGATGGAGGTGGTGATTCTTTCTCTCCTTCTTTCTGTTTCTCCTTTATTATCTTGGGTTTAAAATTAGATTGTCAATTTCCAAAAACCTGCTGAAATTTTAAATGCTATTACATTGAATGTGTGATCAAATTGGGAAGAATTGAGATCAATATTGCTTTCTCGTTCATAAACCTGGCCCATTATTACATGTGTTTAGATATTCTAGACAGTATTTTATAGTTTTTATGATACAATCTTATAAAATATTTTGCAAAATGTATCCCTTAGTGTATTTTTTATGTTTAGGTGCTATTATGAGTGAAATTGATTCTTAACATTGTTTTCTATTTTTTACATTGCTATTATACATAAATACAATTGATAATTATGATTATACAATTGATAATTGCACAGTCAAACTAAGAGTGAAGGAAGTTAATATGCTCAGGGGAAATTACAATCATTGAAAGAGAATGATGCCTTGGTTCATTAGGGGAAAGGTTTTGCTTTGATGGAAAGATTAGTAATTGAGAAACTGCCACTGTAGAAATTATAACTGTATATATAAATTCAGAAGACTTTTTCCACCTAGCTATCAACAACAAAACAAAACAAAACAAAACAAAACAAAACAAAACAATTATTACAGGGAATTTAATGTTGTCCTGACACCACTATTGTTTTACTGGGTTTCCATCTATTGTCCCATTTCATTTTAATAACTACCAGAACAGGTATGTATGTCAGGTATTATTTTCCCTGTATGAAAGATGAGAATGTTCTGAGGGATGAAATGACTTATCCCAGATCAATCAGATATCCAGTGAAAATACTTTACATTCCTGGCCCGATGTTCTTTCTATGACACCAGAAATAATATAGTAACAATTAAATAAGACCTACCCAAAACCTCTAGTGAAATTCCAAAGTTTAATCACTACATAAAATGCTTGTGCTCACTCTAAACTCAGGAGTCTATTAAATGATACTACAGATAGAGAAGAGAGGGCTGATAATAATCCGGTAGACCAACAAGATAATTTAATTGCTGCATTAGTTAACTGCTGTTGCATAACAAATTACTTTAAACCTTAGTAACTTAAAATAATAAATATTTATTATTCCATATACTTTCTGAGGGACAGGAATGACTTTGCTCGATAGTTCTGGCTCAAGATCTTTTATAAGATTGCAGTAAAGTTGTTAATGAAGGATTCGGAATCTGCTACCAAGCTCACTCATGTGTTTGTGAGAAGGCTTCAGCTCCTCTCTAGCTGTGGGCCAGAGGCCTCTATGTTTTTGACATGCTACCTGGACGTCTCCACCGGCTATTTCACATGGCAATTAGTTTCCTTTTCTCAGAGTGAGTGATCCGACAAAGAGAGCAGAAGTGAGTGAGAGCCCCCAGATGAAAGATGAAAACTTTTATATCCTACTTTCAGAAGTGACATACCATCACTTCTGCCTTATCACACAGACCAACCCTGGCATGAATACCTGGAGGTGGGGATCATTGAAAGGCCACTTTGGAGGCTGGCTACCACAATAGCAAATATTAAGAGATAGTTTTACAATGTGCTGGACACTATGCTGAACACTTTACCTGTAGTAATTTATTTAGTCCTTACAACAACACTGAGAGGCAGATACTATTATTATTCTTTTTCACAGATGAAAAAAACTGAAGTTGAGTGTTTAAATAACTTGCCTAAAATCACAGAGCCAAGAAGTGGTAGAGCCAGAATCCAAACCCAGGCTATTTGGCAATATAACACTAAGCTAAATTGCTTCTATGTTCAGCTATTGGTGTTATGAAGGTAATAAAATAAGAAAATGTGATAAAGTAATTGGAATGGGAAGGAACAGGGAGTTTTTTGTGTGTTTTTAAAATTCTTTATTGTTGAAAGTATTATATATGTCCCCTTCCCACCCATTGTCCTCTCCCAGCCTGCCCCTGCCCCCCAGCCCTGCCTTCACCCCCACTGCTGGATTTATTTTTATTTTTATTTTTAGATTGACTTGTCAGGTTAGGCCACTCTGTAGAAGTGATATTTATTTATTTATTTATTTATTTATTTATTTATTTATTTATTTATAATTTATCTTTACTGTTGAAAGTATTACAGATGTCCCCTTTGTGTTTTTTTTCCCTCCTATTGACCTCCTCCACCCCGTATCTGCCCATCCCAGGCCTTCACCACACTATTGTCTGTGTCCATGGGTTATGCATGTATGTATATAAGTTATCCAGTTAATCACTCCATTCCCACCCCCACCTTCACCTTCCCTCTGAAATTCACCAGTCTGTTCCATTCTTCAATATCTCTGCTTCTATTTTATTCATCAGTTTATTTTGTGTATTAGATTCCACATATGAGTGAGACCATGTGATACCTATCTTTCTTTACTGGCTTATTTTGCTTAACATGATACACTCCAGGTCCATCCATGCTGTTGCAAATGGTAAGAGCTCTTTCTTTTTACAGCTGTGTAGCATTCCATTGTGTAAATGTACCACAGATTTTTTATACACTCATCTACTGATGGGCACTTGGGTTGTTTCCAGATCTTAGCTATTGTAAATTGTGCTGCTATGAACATAGGGGTACATATATACTTTCTGATTGGTGTTTCTGATTTCTTAGGATATATATTCCTAGAAATGGGATCACTGGGTCAAATGGCAGTACCATTTTTAGTTTTTTGAGGAAACTCCATACTGTTCTCCACAGTGGCTGCACCAGTCTGCATTCCCACCAGCAGTGTACTAGGGTTCCCTTTCCCCCACATCCTCGCCAACACTTGCCATTTGTTGATGATAGACATTCTGACAGGTGTGAGGTGATACATAATTGTCCTTTTAATTTAAATCTCACAGATGATTAGTGACTTTGAGCATTTTTTCATATGTCTCTTGGCCTGGAAGAAAATAAACTGATCCAGAGACATTGAAACATGCAACAGATTGACATATTTCAGAAAGAGGGGGAATGGGAAGAGATTAAACGAAGAATTTATAT